TAACAGGATGGTTCTTGCATTAATTTGATGCAGTTAGAATTGATGATCAGATTGTGGGCATGATGTGTTTTGCTTTTCTGACAATGAAAAAAAGCAGACCATGCTCAACATTGTGGTGGAATAGTGCTGGAAACCAGGACCAAACACAAATAGTACATTTTAGACAAAAATCTGTGGAGAGAAGTTCACAGGCACATTTAAAGATGCTGTCAGTGTTCTACTTTAGTCAGCATGTAGTGCTTGGATCTTTAAAACAAAGTACCTCAATGTGTTGATCTGGGATTCTCCATACTTACACACTCTATAAATCATTTGTCTTGTGACTATGCTTCTGAAGTCTAGTTTTTCCGTGAACATACAAGTTGTAATAATATGCATGACAGAGCTATTCAATCTTTTTTGGGAGTCCACATTTACTTCAACTCATGCAGATATGTGATGAGCTAAGACAATCAATAACATGTAAGAACAAGACAGACACAATGCCATGTAATTGTGAAAATAGAAAATACATCGTCCCTGAATTGTATTTTTGCTGATGTATCTAGAAGGTAGAGATGCACTAGTGTTCGGTCATGTTCTCTATGTAAGTCTGCCAGGTCGCAATAATAGATCCCTGAGAAAATAAAGATTGGAATGTCCCTGGAAGCTGTTGTAGTCTTGCTAGTTCAATTTGCGGTGCTGCTCATTGTTCTAGTGAAATGATGCAATGATGTTTTGGTGACGTTGTTTTGCACTATAACTATTATAAAGGACTTTTTGGGTTTGAATAGGTGGAATATTGGGATTTATATACACGACTTTGACATACTTCTTCATTCTTATAAATAATAGGAGACACTATCGGCTTCTCATTGGTTTAATTAATACATCATGACTGAAGTGTCACTGTTGAAATATAAAGTAAATAAACAGTTAATTTTACTTTAGTCTTATAATACATCAACCACACCAAAATACAGTATGCTATTCCATAAAGAAAGTCAGAAAATGTTTTACCTAGACTTTCATCTGGTGCTGGGATTGCAGGGTGTGTTCTACCGAAGTTCATGCACTTACAAACACTTTCTGTAGTAGCTCATAACAGATTTGATGCTGATATTTAGAAGACTGGCTCCACAACTGCTACTACTCCCCAGTCTTCTGCCTTGATGAATCACCAAGGTGCATGTAATGAAAAATAACAACACATAAATCTCCTCTTCAAAACTCAAAAAAGTGATCAGATTCAATTCTGTTTTCTCTTAGTACAAACAATTTCACCTTGCTTATCTAAAAGTTGACCTGCTGCAACCTATGGGGTTTTAAAATCCATGGAAGTGCATCTAAAGGTGATACAGTTCTGTGAACCTTTTTTTTCAGAGGTAGACACAGGAAAGAACAGCTAAAAACGGCATAATTTCAGTGTGGCAGAGGTCACAGGTAGTGACTGTGAAACTGATCCATCTTCTTTCCATCCCGGTAAAAGCCACAGATATTAGATGTGAAAGATGAAGGTACATGAGACCCAAAAACACATCAAGGACCTTGAAATCCACTACCACAAACTCAGAAATAGCACTTCATTTGGTGATCTTTATTTCCAAAAGGCAATCACTACATTCAATGTAATGGTTGGACATGAGATACTGTGAGCAAAGTACAGAGCACGTACTACCTGCCAATCTTAACACAGGCAGTTAAAAAAAAACATGGCAAGCATCATCCTCTGAAGCATGTTGTGTTATACAATCAACACCATATACATCATAATATAGTTTTGCAATATAGCATGCCTTTTTTGTTCCATGTTTTTGTTTTCTTTTTAAGCTTTGACATTGTTGTACTTTGAAGCATTTTAAAACATGTGTAGTCCTTGCTGCATTCACACTAGCCTAGAGCTTTACTTAGCAATGTGAACAGTAGGATCAGACAGATAGTGTGCATACAAATATAGCGAGCACATTAACATGAGACTGAGAAATGTATGTGAAAATGACAATGTGAGCATCATAATATCACTGCAATAGAATCAGTGGCACAGTTAACATTTTTAATGCATGTGGTGTCATTTTCCTTAATGCATTGTACTCTGTGGGAATAAATTTAAGGCAGCCACCACCTTGACTAAAAGCTGCAGCTGATGCAGGTCTGCAACTACATAGAATTCCATTTAAAAAGTCCCAACCTTTCTGCTGGAATTATTTTTTTCTCACATCAAGTTTGGTTCTCAAGAGCTAATTTCCCTTCTTCTGTGCATCATCAGGGTGAATTTAAGAATCTGTCAAAGAGGTATTAAGGCTTCAAAAGAAGTATGTGTTAGAGCATGTTTGCTTGGTTGACAGGTCAGCTGTGGTGGTTGCCCCGCTCTTGTCCCAACTAAGGTCCATCCAGGCATCTTGTTAAAATTGTGATTTTCCAGGTTGTAGATGACAGGTAAACCCAAACCCAAGCACAAAATAAGGTCCTTTCAGGAACATTCAGGTTTCAGTTTTTTCAACAATCTGAGGATATGCTTGAGCCAAGTACAACAAGTATACAACACACTCTCACACAGTAACAGCGGTGCGCTTTATAATCTCAAACCATCAATCATTCACTGGTGTTCCGTACAGTACGGTACAGTCCTCCGCTTTCTTTATGGCTTATCTTCCGTTCTGTTGTCATTAATTTTCATAACACACAGGTGCAGTCATTATTCCCTCATCTTCTCAAAGTGCAGCACTCAAACTACAATGTCAACAACAAACATTAGGACAACAAGCCCTGAGATAGTGTTCAAAGAGGTCATGATCTAGGTAGTATTTTTGGACATTGTACTGACATAGCAGCTCAGCTCAGGAACCATGCACAGACAACATATGGGATGTTTTCATTCACATTTAAATGCACATTTTAAGTTTCAATAGGCAACATGAAAAACAGCAACAAACACATAGTGGACGTGGTACATTTAAGTCAAGCTTCTCTCATGTTTTCCACAGCAGCTTTTTTTGGGTGATTCTTTTTTGTTCCTCATTATTTTTGTGTAATACTTATTTTATGGAGTCACAGCACCACGTTAGAGGTCCACATGCACATGTCAGACCTTATTTTAAAATACTTCCAATCTTTTATTTGGCGGCCATTACATGTTCATGTAATTTCTCAAATTTCTGTTTTTTTCCTGTTTTACTCTGCATTGTTGGCACCCTAAATCTCAAACTTTCCTAACAGCTTGTACAGCTAACACATGTTCTATGCTCAAGGATAATTACAGATTTATTGTAAGACAAAGTTGTAATAAATCTTAAAAATAACATAGTTTTGGTCATCATTTTATCAGTGATGATTACATTGCACTCACTGGTTAAAGCTGCAGTAGGTAACTTTTATTAAAATAACCTTTTGTCATACTTACTAAAACTGTTACTACCTCCTGACATCAGGATGCGTCAAATACCAAGCTTCACGCCACGAACCCAAAGCACTGTTATTTGACAACCTGGGAATAAAACTCAAAAATCAACTGTCTTTCTAAATTCTGATTGGTTGTTGTTTTATCCAGGCTAGGTGGATTTTTTGCAAATTCCATTAGAAGCAATAGGAGGAGCCAGAGGAACCTGATTTATTCACAGATGATCTACTACTAACAGGATATTGTACAGGTTTTAGCAAATATGACAAAAAGTTGAAGCTTTAATTTCTAAAATCTGGGACCTCTCTGACATCGCTAATAATCAACACAGGGTCTGAAATCAGCAACTGACTGACTGACTGAGTGAAACCCAGATCATCCTCCAGCCAGTTACACACTCGTCAAGGTGTTAAGGGCCACATTAACCTCAATATGTCATTGCTATGCAGATGTAAAGTAAATTTTGTGCTGAAGGTTGTTGGTTCGATCCCGGGCTCCTCCCGCCACGTGTTGAAGTATCTTGTAGCATAGATATCTGAACCCAAGATGCTTCCAATGTGTGATTTGTGTGTGATGTGTATATAAGTCAGGTCCAATTTACCATTTGCCATTTGTGTGTTAGAGATCTGTGCAGTATGTGCAGAGGATACAGAACTGAGCCAAAACTTTGGTAAGCTCTTAAGAGCCTTGTGCAGTTGTGTTATTTGTTGCTGGTTGATATGTATGCTGATATGAAGCATGAGGTATTCAGTGAACACCACACATCCAGTGAGGTCAGAGGTGGCAAAAGCACACACATTCTTTTCTAAAGTAGAAGTACAGATACTTGTGTGCGAAACTACTGCGGTAAAAGTAGAAGTACTGATCCAACTTCTTTAATCAAGTAAAAGTGAAACAGTAGAGGCTGTTAAATGTACTTAAAGTATACTAAGTATAAGTAGAAAGTACTCTTTTGGTTTCTGTGAAGGGTGTTTCTCCCAGCTGTTTCTGTGCTAAGCTAACTGATACTTCAAATAGGGTTGAGTCCCTCCCTCATCTATTTCATCTTGTTACATCGTTTTTGTCACGTAACATCTGTCATTTGTGATATGCACTGGTCTTGATGTTGCAATAATGCAAAAAATAAAAAGCCTTTTTTTAAAAAAATCTAAGGATTAGAAAGTACAAACATCTGTAAAAATGTAGGGGATAAAAGTAAAAAGTTGTCAAGTAAATAACAGATACCTGAAAAAGTTAAGTATTTGTACTTCTTACTTTCCACCTCTGAATATGGTTTGGAGCTGGCAAAAGTGAATATTGAATGAACAAATACTGATGAAAATTTGCTATCCTCCCTGTGCATCAAGGAGATTATACCCCTCAATCTAAGAAACTTCAGTTGAGTACAATGTTATCATAACTCAGAGAAATAATGGCCAAAGCTGTGAAAGAGCCTTCATTTAAACACCAATATGACCATCATTTGGCATAACACAACAGCAGAAACCCTACATCTATACAACACAATGTATGTCAGTCAGATCCATAGAGCACATTGAGTATGTGACAGTTACAGTATATCGCAAAAGGGACAGGTGTTGTCCCTTCTTAAGCACAGGAATAGGAGAGACCTAAGGCACTAATGGTGGCATTTAAAACTTCCTTCTGTAGGACAACACACTGTCTATGGGTCCATCTGAATATGCAGCTCTTTTGTTTTAAGTATTTTTTCACTCTCATTCTCTTTGGATTGATCTGGAATAAACCCATTCTGGGGCTTGCAAGCTTCCACAAACAGTGGAAAATCAGACAAGCTAGTGTTACACTCCTTGTCTTCATTTTCATCCTCTCCATTGTCCTTCCTTTTACCTTCATCTGCTGTGAGTGTGCTACAGTCGAAAGTGGGTGTGCTGCAGCCGTAGGCCTCGCTGTGAGGCCGACGAGCCTCATCTGGGATGTTTTTCTTTAGGTCTCGATTCCTGTTGCGCTTAGCCAGTTTAGTGACGGAGCCCAGGCGGTTGAAAATGTTGTCCTCTGACGTAGTCTGGTGGTTGGAGCGCCTGTCGCACTGCTCGGCCCCCCGAATCCGAAGGTTGTTCAGCTTGGTGTCAATGCTCTCCTGGGAGGAGGTCTTATAACTGTTGGTGTCCAGGCTGTTGAAGATGGCACGGCGCTCTGGGGAAAGCATGTCCAAGGACACAGCGCGCTGGTCCAAGCCTAGCTGTCGTCTCTCCATGCTTCGGATTGTGGCGGCCCGCTGCAGCTTGTCATGGACCTCAACACTCATACGCCGGCGTGTCTCCCGGAACTCTGCTCGCACGTTTGCTTTCCACTCCACTGCATGAGCCTTGATCTCTCCAACCTTGGCCAAAGTTATTACAAGTCAGTACATCTGTTCAAAAATAATGCTGCAGGACAGTGAAAAAACTTCTCAGTCTGTCACACATATCAGCGGTTCCCAGCAAGGATGAGATGATTAAAAGCATAGGGAAGAAACTATGTTTCTGCAACACAAATACATTTTTTTAATATCCTTTTTTAGTATCAACAGTGTCTGAATTGGATTAAAAAAATGGGCCAGTACCATAATTCAGCACAACTCTAATCCTAAACACAACATAACCAAATTTGGTGTTTTTATTTCCTTTTTTACATAGACATTTTCTGTGCTGTTTTCTTAGCGTTAAGATAGCTACGTGTTTACATAGAGACGCAGTTGCTTAGAAGTACTTCACCAACATTGCTGTACACAGGGTTTTTGGGTCATGCAGCAAAGAAGTAAAGTTATTTTTAGACATTTATTTCATGACTCTATTGTCTACCCCTTGAGAAAAATACTGGTAACATCAATTGTGGGTACGCAATACGAAGTAAGGGTACTCACGTGGACAAAAATCAGAAGTAACGCTACTCACTATTCGTTCAAACTTAAAAAAGTGACCCTAGTCACAAACTCTTAGTTGTGCAACTATAGTCATTGATGAGATCAATCAATTCCAGCTTTTGTAATGGATTAATTAATTCATTCTATTAATTTACCAAGCAGAATGTCTCAGGTAGAGTTGCTTTCTTCTCTGCTTCTTATCATTAACTGGCTACATTTAGGCATTTGGCTTTTGGTTCAGACAAATAAAGCACTTTTAAGTCATTATCCAGCAAACACATAATTTTTCTGAACTATATCTATCTAAAATTCAAGGTGCAAAGTGGAGAGTGCAGATTTTGTTGTCTGCTCACAGTAAACCAGATGAAATGGTGAATTTTCATAAATACAAATGATCCCGCAAGTAAACTCACTTGAGTAACACAAGGTGAAAATTGGCTTCGGGCTTGGTGGGAACACACCATGAGAAGATAATGGTCTGCTGTATGGACTGTATGGACTCATTCTTCCTTTGTAGATGAAGGGCTCGTCTGCAACTTTTTGTTGACAGCTTGAGATGGCAGGAAGGGTGACTAATATAATTGCATTCAATTTGCAATTCATTCTGCAATTACAACTGCACTAGCAAGTTGTTCTTCTCATCCAGACAAAATATCTAAATACAAATCAGATTGCATGTTATTACCAGATGGAGGCGGAAATTGAGTGAGAAGTGATAACTTGTTATAATGATTAGAATATGCAGCTGCTATATGCTTTATTTTATTCTTTTATTTTTGTATCATTTTAATTGTCCGATTTTATTCTGCCTCATTGCCTCCTAAATGTTTTAAATCCTGGTTCCGACCATATAAGCACTTTGTAATTTTTTTGTGTACTGTATAAATAAAGTTTATTATTCTTATTCTTATAATAGGATAGGATAGGATGTCACAGATTCTGACATTAAGAGTCTATGATTAATATTATTGATTGTAGCCCTACCTTGGTTAGGAATATAACATGAGTATTAACAGCTTCATCATATCAGTATTAATCAATTGTTATGAGAGCATACCTCTTCTTTTGTCTTTTTAGACAGCACCCTCAGCCAGTCACCAATCATGTTCAGCACTGCAGCAAAGTAGGCAAGACCACCCAGGATCCAGAACCACACTAGTGGTCTATACCACTTCCGATACTCAATCCTACGGTCTCCACCTGATTAGAAACCAAGACATGAATGAATGAAGCAATGTACATCAATTTACTGCTGCCAGCATGCATCTCCATCTGAACATGTAAGGGAATGAAATTGTTATGTAGTCACAGTCAGTGATCATCTTTATCACAGGGGAAATCATTGTCAGCCAACACAGGCTCTGTTATGATTCTGCTTTAAAGGTCCAGTGTGTAACATTTAGGATGATTTATTCATGGTAGGGGTGTGCATTTCTCTCTTCTAAGACGATCCAATACAAATCCAGACATGGCATTCATACGATTCATGGACAATGCATTTTAAAAGTAAAAGAATCGGACCATTGACCAGTTCACAGTACATTTGAATCAATCCAGGGTTCAATCCACGCTTCAGTTGCATCTATAATGTTAAAACTGATTCGTATAGGTAAATGTTTTACACCCCCAATTCATAGATATGTTTTCATTAGTGTGTAATCACCTGAAAATAATAATTATTGTGTTTCTTTTGAAAGTTAAAATTATCCATAAATGTCACTAGACTCTAATTTATGAATCCCGCTTTAAACATACTTTGATATTGCACTATACAGCATTAACTATACTGACAGATCTTCCTCTTTATCAGTCTCAATGTCTAGTGCTTAATCCTTTCTTTTGTCATTTTTATTGTGTTTTAAAGAATAAAAATAGTATTCATGTTACAAAATGTTGTCCGTCTGTTGCTTATCTGCACGGATTCACTCCTTAGAGGGTCGAGGGAAGTGGGGTGAGGGGGCAAGTTGTCATACACTGTATCGTTACAGAGTTGTGGCAACTCTGACACTGAAGCCTTTGGCTGCCAGTCCCAGCCTTGTTCATGATTTCCACCTCTGTTTTAGAACACACAGAGTTAGGTATTTCCTGCACACACAGACACACAGCTGGTGTTTTCACACTCTGGCTCTTCTGTTCTGGACGTGACTCTTTTCAAAACCTCTGTTTATCTTAAACAGAACATAGAAGGTTTAACACAGCAAATATGATTTATAACTAAATGTGAATTCATTTACTTATCCTTCTAACTTTTATGTCATTTCAGTTGTATTTTTGTTGTAAGAAGAGTAAGTCCTGTGTACTGTGAGAGATGATGTGATCGAGATATACACTGTGTTCGTCAGGAACAAAATAAACTTCCCACGTAAAGCCTCCCGTGAGTTACTACACAGATTTAGACCACTTTCATATGTGGTCCTAAATCGGATACATATCTGATGTTTTTCAAAGCGACCTCAATCTGAACGGTCATGTCGCATTTCATCCGACTTTTATGTCATTGAAGTGAGACAGACGTCACAATTAGATGCTGAAGGAGGCGGGACACAGCAATATCATAATCATCATCGTAATTTTGTCAGCTCCGATTGCACAACAACTTCAAAATAAGACAGTAAGAACACACAAATATGGGTTTATACTCTTAAAACCCTTGTCCATGTGGTACACCAATGCAAATACATTCATCTTAACACAAACTGTTGTCAGGTGTGAAGCGAGTGAAGTGATGTCCTGGTTTATGCACTGGGAATTGCAGCTAGACTTGATTTGGCTTAACTGTTTTATTATTGAAACCAAAGATAGCAACATTTTATCCATCAGTGCACTACTTATACTGTCTTTCTGTATCTTTGTCTGTTGCTATAGAAACAGAGATACACAAAACTCACTCCTGTGACCAGTGTGAGAAGTAATTCCCTACATCACAATGATTAAAGGTCCATCTGACAGTTCACACTGGAGAGAGACCATACAGCTGTGAGCAATGTGGTAAAGCTTTCTCTCAGTCAAGTAACCTTAGGTGTCACCAACATATTCACACAGGAGTGAAACCATACCACTGCAGACATCGTGAGAGGCTTTCATCTTACATGAACGAAGCAACACTGGAGAGAAACCATACAGCTGTAACCAGTGTGAGAAAACATACAGACAAGGAGATCCAACAGTTCATCGGAGAGTTCACACGGGAGAGAGACCGTACCATTGTCAGGAGTGTAGCAATACATTCATATCATCAGAACTCCACAGTCATAACCGAAAATTTCACATTAAAGAGAACCCTCACCGTTGTCAGTTGTGTGAAAAGGGATCACATCGTCAGGAGAGCTAAAGATTCACCTGAGAGTTCTCACTGGAGAGAAACCATACAACTGTGAACAATTTGGGGAAACTTTTTCACGGTCCGGTCGCTATAGAATCCACAAACAAACTCATAGCGGAGAAAGACCATACAGCTGTGTGTGGTAAAGCTTTCTCTCAGTCAGCGTGGAGAGAAACCATACCACTGCAGATGCTGTGAGAAAGCTTTCGTTAATGCAACAAGTACATTAACAAATCCACACAAAAGAAATGTGTTAATAAATTTGATTGCAATTACAGAAGCCCTGAAAGGCAAGTCAATATATTTTTTTCTCATAATCATTTCAAGTTTAC